AGAAATAAAATAAACTCAAGTTGAAAGACTAAATCGAACGGTGAACACTCATTATACTTTTATCTAATGGGAAGAATGCACCAATTTCTGTAAAGGAAAAAATATATTAATTTCATATAAACAAAAAGCCTTAGGAATTAACCTCTAAAAGTCAAACAGATTAATAATGTAAAAATGCTTAGGTAATAGTTGGCATATTTATAGCATAATGATAGCATTTTCAGTTTTCTCTTTTCCATTTTATTGTCCAATTAAGTTTGGTGCATTTAGTTAAATGAGATTTTTTAACTCCCAAATCTTGATCCATAGTAACTTCCAACTTCCCACTCAATCCATAGTAACTTCTAATTAAGAAATTATTAAGTCATATGCTATTTTCAACTTTATTTTTTTAAGAAGAAAGGTTATTTTCAACCTTTTATTTGTTTTTCATTTTGAGATTTTATTATATATTTTCTTGATTTTTCGTTCTAATTCAATTAAACAATTTAGTTTAAACAATATATATAATTAAGAATTGATATAATGTGAAAAGTTGATGTGACAATGAGATGCGTCATATACACTTGCACATATATAAAAAGTTAAATGGATGTAATATGTCGTTCAAGAATTACTTATAGCTTTATAAGTAACGTTAAACGACTACGTGGATGCGTCCAAAATCTAATTAATGAAATCTCAAACGGTAAATACAATTCTAAAAAATTACTATACATGAATCATTAGCAATGAAATCCATCATACTTAAAGAGGGGATAAAATTTTTCATCAATATACATGAATTCATGTTAAATTTCTCATGATTTTTCTTAGTATAAATTTTGCAATGAATTTGTATCCATCACAACATTAAATTTGAAGTATTTGCCAATTATACAAAGAAAATGGAGATCATATATGATATCCCACAACTAGCATTTTATTAATTACTCCAAAGTCCAAATCATTTATTTTGCCAAACACAAACACCAACCAATTCATATATATACACATGTAACACACATCATTCTCAACAAGAACACTTCATCTGTCCCACCAAATTTTTTTCTCTCTCTACTTTTTCTCTCCAAAGGTTGTTGAGGTTTTCCTAAAGATGAGGGAGAGCAGAGGCAGGCAAAAGGTGGAGATGGTGAAGATGCCTAATGAGAGCAATCTTCAGATAACCTTTTCGAAGCCCTCTTCAAGAAAGCTAGTGAACTCTGCACGCTATGCGGTGCCGAGATTGCCATCATCATCTTCTCGCCCGGGAAGAAGGTGTTCTCTTTTGGCCACCCTTGTGTCGAGGCATTGATCGAGCGTTTTGTGACTCGAAACCCCCCGTCGAGCTCGACACACTCCAGTTGATTGGGGCTCATTGGAATGCCAACGTTCGAAAACTAAATTTGCAGATGACACAAGTGCTGAATCAACTGGAGATGGAGCGAAAGCGGGTCGAAGAATTAAACAAGTTGCGAAAGTCAAGCTAGGTATTAAATGAATGCTAAACCAAAAAACTTAATCTTTTATATAATTCTTAACATTCTCTTAATATTAATTTAATTAATGAAAATCAACCTATTAGCTAATAAATTTAAAAGCTTAAGTTGATGTGTTAAAATATAATTAATCTTTTATTTATATTCTTAACATTAGACGTAGTCGTGGTGGGAGCTCCCCATCGAAGAGATGGAAATGAATCAACTCGAGCAGCTCAAGGCATCATTGGGGGAGTTGAAAAGAATGTCACACAACAAGCTGACCGGATTTTGGTTCAAACCTCCAATGGTAATCCACCGCCACAATTCTTCCCGAGTCCGTCACCTGCAAACCCAAACCAGCAAGGCGGCGTTTTCGTCGTGGATCCGAAGAACATGATCTCTCATCTTCCCTACAGCTATGGCTCCTATGGATCAAGAGGTTTCTTTTGAAGAATAAGAAGAAATGAATTTGGGTTGAGCAAAATAAATCAGTGATAAGTTCAAATTTTCCCACAGTTTTAGTTAAAATTTCAGTGATGTAACACAAGAGATTTGCCATGAAAATTCTTCTCATTATAAATTAAATGTTGTGTATTTGGTTTATTATAAAATAAATATTATCATCAGCATTGTACATCATAAAGTTCTTATGTTGTCTACAAACAGACAATTTATAATAGGGTAATTTTTGTCACAGACAATAGTTTGTAAACAGATTAAAAGGAAAAATTCTCAAAGAGAGATGGTATAAGTGATTTATCATTAAAACATTTTGATTAAACTGCTTTTTACTAAAATTACTTTTTCTAAAAATACTTCGTAGCACTCATTTGAAATTCATCTCCACAATAATTTCTACCTTTTCATTTGTTTTTAATAGATTTTTAAAAATGTTTTTTTTTTTTTTTTACTTTTTATGAAATTAAACTTGCCCATTTATACTCTTTATTAGTGTCAATTTTATTTTATCATCAAATTATAATTAATGTCACAATTTTGGTCCTATCTCTGACCAAAGGTCATGAGTTCGAATCCCCATCCCACATGTTATACAAAAAAAAATGTCACCATTTTGGAATTTATTCCGCCCAAAGTTTGGAGAAAAAGGTAAGGTTTTTAATTTAATTGGAAATTGTTAATTAATGTCTAGGATTTTGTAGCATAACCATGCTTCTCAAGATAGGTTAAAATTTCAATAATTAGAGTAAGGTAAGATATATCAATGTTTATTTTAGGAAATTTGTCGTATTACTCTACACTTTTTAATTAAGAAACATAATAATTCTTAGTTATCTTTTATAAACTACATCTCACAATACACACCATGTATTTCAATACATGTCAAATGATCGTGTTCGTATCGATTGAGACACCAATAAAATTGATAGCACCATATTAACGCGTATGACAGATCGTTCTAGTAAAACTAGGTGCATTACACTATATAAAAATAATGTATATTTAAAGTTTGTTACATTATCACGCTCGATTCGAAATATTTTCTTTATGGATAAAGCAAATGTTCAATACTATGACATTTTCTTAAAAAAAAAAAAAGTGCAATACTATGAAAATTTATCAACTAGATAGCATTAATTGAAATGGGTCTCTTTGATTTTCTCTAATTAAGGTTGGATTTTAGTAACTCGGTTGGGATTAAGATAAGTTTTAAATGCATAAAAAGAAAATTAGGAATTTCATACAAAGCAAACACAGCTTTGGTTACTCATTAATTATTTTTATTATTCTTTTCTTATTCATTTTCTCAAAATTGTTCAATTCTCCATTAAAGATTATCAATGTGCACCAATTATGGATTAATGAAAATTAAACCTCTCATCCCCAAAGTCTAGTTGTAATCTTGTAACTTCCACTTCGCCAATTCACGCAATAATAATAATATAATTATAATAAAGTTGTTTTTTTAGTGGACCTTTTATCATAAATTTGATAAATTATTAAAAAGAGATATTGTGTTAGTTCTATAAATCTTATATATAAGTATTTTTCATTGTTTTTTTTTCTGTATAATTTAATGATTAAATAATTTTTGAATAAATTTAAGCAAGAATACTATAGGAGATTAGAAAAACGATGTGATAATAATCATTAAAAATTTGACCAACAACGTGTAAGTTGTGAATGTCACATACACTGTCTATTAAAATTGCTAATGCTATAAAATGATATCAAATCATAACAATTTTTGTTGTTGTTTTCTTAAATATGATTAACGATTAATTTTTTGGTCAATAATATATATTTTTAATTAGTTGAGCGATGTTGAGATTGACACTAATGGAAGGATTATAAATATTATCTGATATATAATTTTAAAAGTAATTTATCTCATATTGTCACACCTTTCACTTAAATTTGGTTTCGTTATCCAGAAAATGGAATTAGAGTAAGGTATATGAATACTATACCATATTTGAGCGAGGGTATTTAATTTATATAATTTGTCTAGGTAGGTAATGAAATAAATAGAAAATATAAGCTCCCATTTTATTAATCATTTCGATCCAAAATCTGTTTCAACAATCAAACATCATAATTCTTTATTTTTGTATTACAAAATTTTTTTTTAATTTATTTATAGGATAATGATATCATTTTCAGTTTTTTTAATATACCAAATTACCAATTAATTGAATTTCATACATTAGGTGAAACAAGATTTTCCAACTTCCAAATCTTATCCAGAGAAACTTCTCTAATTATGTCAAAAAGAAAAAAAAAATGTAACTTCTCCAAGTCAAACAAAGTTTTTTTTTTAATTTACATATTCTGATCATAATTAATCCCTAAAAAAAGGAAAATAATTCTCTCATTAACATCCTTCACAAATTTTATAAACCAAATACAATTGCTTTTTGCTTTTTAAAACACAAATGTTTAGAATGTTTGAGGTGAAAGTTTAGATGTGAGTGAGTTCGACTCAAAATGATGTTGAACTCACGTTTTTTCAATAAGTTTTGTCCAGTTCGGAGTTTGTTGAACAACTTTATAAATTTTAATAGTACCAAAATTTACTATCTCCAAATTCACTTCTCTTCACACTGTTTTTCTAAACTTAGACTTTTTAAAATTTATACAATAACCATAACTTTCTACATTGCCTACTTAAATTTCAAGCTATCGAATAATTTAGATTTCTATATGATATTTTTTGTGGGCTCCAAATAGGTTAGAAAACAAATTAAGGAAATATCTAATATCCGTTGAGGGAAACAAAAAATAGAGGTCAAAAGGTGAAGTTCTCTAACCAGCGACCTACCTTGGTAATGAATAATTCTTCTTCAAAGATGTAATTTCCAGAGGACTTTTTTTTTTCTTTTTTGCTATTTTTAAAGATTAATTTTAAGTTTGCTAAATTTAAAGTTGGATTAATTTTAAGTGTTGCTATTTTTAAAATCAATCGAAAATAGAATTTAAATTCTCTATATACACACTTTTCTTGTAGCTTTAGAACTCATACCTCTTTTTTCTTTAGCTACAAGTACGCGTGTCTTTCGGAGTAAATCGTAATTTTGCGGATTACATAAATTTTCCAACCCCCTCTCCTCCAGCATCTCTGCTTGTCTCTCTATTTCTTTATTGTTTCTCTGTGGCGGGAAGTATCAGATCCCGAGGCCGTGAATTTACCACGATGTTCCTCGCTCCTTCAACTTCACCCTCCACACGCACGCCTTCCAAGCCAAGCAATTCTTTCTCCGCGCCTGGATTTCACAAATTCGGTGGTTTTTGTTTGTATTACACGGATTAATTCCGTTTGGTTTCTCTGTTTTTGCACTTGGATATGAAGTTCGGAGGTGATTGCTTTGTTTCTCCATGGAATCTCCCCGGTCTAGGTCCTTAATTCGGTTTCTGTGTGTTTGTATGATGCATAAGCATGCGTTGGGTGCATTTATGCAGCTGCTTTTTAGTTTCTGTGTCGTTTATGAGCGCTGTATTCGCTGGTAATTTGGGAATCAAACGTGATGCTGATGGGGAATGCTGATGATGCGCGATGCCTGTTTCCTCTCACCAATTTGCAAATCGGGTATGGTATATATAGTTCCTTTTGAGGGTTGGGTTTATTGAATATGTTGGATTTATCTCTTTTTATTTGCCTTGGGTATGAATTCGCGTTCAACTTGTTTGATATTCAGAATAATGTGAAGGAATCCAAGTTTGGTCGTATAGTTTAAATGTTTATACCTCTAATTGCAATGCTATCTTATTGTATTTGTAATCGTGTTGGTGAATTTTTGGATAAGTTTCTGTATCTAGCTAATTTTCAATTGTTGGTGAATACTATATCTGTTCAATGTTTAATTGTTTTCCCGCTTTTTGGTTGACGCTTTCGTTAATTCAGAGACTTGCAGTCTTATCTCTCTGATCTGAGCCTCTTCTTGGCGTTTGAGAGTAAAAAAATATATATCTTGGTGGATAATCGGCCATGGTTGAGAGAACTTGGTGCAAGGCCAGCTTGCTTGTGGCAGCTGATGGTTACAAAGGTTTATAAATCATACAAACTTTATTCCTGTTAAACATAGTTTTATCAATTTTCTGATGGGTTAGACTGCAAATGAACTTGACGTTTATTGTCCGATTTTCAGTCGAGGCTGTCTCCTTTTGCAAACTCCAAAGCGCGAAGGGGTAGAAATAGTGAACGGGGGCCTTATCAGAGACCCAAAATTACTAAACCAAAGAAGTTTCTGCGGTGGTTCCCATTGATCAATGCAGTAACACTGTCTCGAAAGAGACTTCTGCTTCCTGTGATTCCTGTGAAGAACCTTCGAAAGTCATTTTTTCTAAACAGTGAATTGCATAGGACGTTGTATGGTTTTATAGTTTTTGAAGTTTCATGGGACAATGTCAGAGGTTTAAACTATTTTAATGAGCTTCAGGTACCAACCCCTTCCACATGCTTCTACTGTTTTCTGTGTTGTAGTTGTCTGTGTTCAATGATTTACATACCACCTGCAGACAGATACATCTGTGGCCATAGAGGCTAAATATATGCAAAGATGGGAATTTGATTGCATATCTCAAGCTACAGGGTGCATATCTTCTTGGTTCTCGGGTTCACACTCGGATCAACTGCTGTTGAAGAATTATTTGGATTCGATCACAGGTAGTTCTTAGTGTTTCTTGATTAATTCAACTTAAATGATGTTCGGAATGCGAGTATGTCCATTTTGTTGTTTGTGTGAAGAGACTTAGAACAGTGCACTGATTTGCTTCGCTTTTTAGTAAATTGGATTCTTACTATATCAAGGGTAATTTACAAGATGCTTTGTTTGACAACGTTGTTGCAGTGCTTAGAGTTTAGAGTTGTTTCTAGCCTTGGTATCAATTGACATTGACATAGTTTTTGGCTATGGTGATGGGTAGCAGACTCCCTATTCTTTTTCCTTGTTGCCTCCCGACAATTGTTTTGATTTGAGTCTTTAAATTTTGTATGATTATACACTGCCTGAAAACGAGTGCACTAGAAACTGCTTTAGTATAATTTGGTTTAATCCTTTCTGTGATGTAAGCATGTCTTAGGCTGTAACCATTGAGTTGAAGATGGTTGCTTGAACTAGCATACCTGTGCTGGCCTAGAAAGCACCCACTTAATAATTCAATTTTCATTGTCATTTTTCAGGAGAGATTTTCTATGATGCTGAAGAAGTTTTCCACGATGTTGAAGACAATTACCTCAATGGAATTCCCATTGTCGAAGACGAGATTATCTCCTTTAAAAACTTATACATTAGTAATGATTTTCTAGAGTGCACTGATGATGAATTGAACTTACATTCTACCACTCCAGGAGACAGCATGAATACACCCCCGACACCTCCTCCTACTGGTCCTAATAAGAGAAGAAAAGTAACAAAATCTATTGGCCCAAAGAATTTAGAATATACCTTCTTGGAAGAGAGGAAAAATAAAATTAATGATTCACCCAGTGTCTCAGAGATTTACGCAGCTGATTGTCAAGATGTAGTCGAGGCTACACAATACAAAGATGTATTGATTTTGTTTAGATTCGATGATCGCGACCTTCCATTTAAATTAAAGCAAATAATTATGTCTGATCTACGGTTGCTCACTTTGTTGGAAGCTGGTCTTCCATCTTGGGTCCTCTTCCTTCAATCTTATCCTGTGTTCTGTCATGTCTATCGGCCTTGGATGTGCCTTTTTGCAAGAGCTTTATATGTGCTCGTATCAGTTGTCACTGTTCTCATAGGATTCTATGATTTATACAAAAATGTCCCACTTTTGAAGGCAGCAGCATCTCGTTTGTGTGGACCCCTTTTTGATTGGATAGAGGATTGGGAGATGTTATCAAGAATCAAATACTTGGGAACAATGTTATTCTTACATAATTTTGAGAAAGCTATTACGTGGTTTCTTACTCTTTCTCGTACCATACGATCTTTTCTTTCACTGTTGGCCCAACCATTGGCAAGTCCTATCATTGAACTTCTTGGATTCCTTCTTCCTGTTGGTAATACTTTTATCGAAGTTGTCGGGAACTTCTTTTCGGTGATCTGGGATGTGATTGAATTTTGTGGCAGTCTCGTTGTTGACTTAGTTGAGTTGTTGATCTTACCAATATGGTTAATTTTCTCAACAGTCTGGAGATGTGGTAGGTTTATTTTTTCTTTTTCCTATTTATTTTTTTATCTTTTTCAGTGAAGTGGGTCCTTCACTAGATTCTAATTCCCTTTCTTTACTTTGCAGTTACAATGGTTTTGCTTCCTGTATTATGGATGGTTTCAGAAATACTATATGCTCCAATCAGAGTTGTCCTCTCATTAGCTAGTTTCCTAGCTTATGTATGCACATGCATTTACGAAATGTTCGGAGATATGCGACGTTTTTTCAGTAGTGTTCTTCAAGTCGCTTCTGTATCAGAGGTAACAGTCGTCACTTCCGAAGTTTCGGTTTGGCGTACACTTTGGAATGATCTCTTCTCCCAGGTAACTACACTGTGAACCATAGCTCCTCATGTTATAATGTGGCAATTTCGCTATTAAATTATTGTGGCAATTTCTTTTCTTCAGGTTTTTCGAGCTCTTAGAAGTATATTACATGGATTCGTTGCGTTCTTCACTGCTTGCAACAGACATCGGCTCAGGTAGGCTTGTGTTAGATTTTTGTTTGGTATATACATGTCCTCTGGTGAATCGCTAGGATAATATCACAAATTTTCGTCCTGGAAGTGTTATAAAAATTTTGGAAAAACAAAAAAACTTGAAGTGAAGTAAATTCCTTCTGAAACTCGGTCCTTCCATTGGATATTCAATAAAACTTGCCACTCATAATCCCTTATTCCATGATGCAACAGCATCTACAATCATGTACAGGAATGTTTTCAAAGATTATTTTGTGGAACCAGAGGCTCAGAGGAGGAAACAAGCAGCAGTAGACGCATATATATGCCTCAAAATCTGGCTACTGTTTATGGAAAGGTTCTTTTCTATCTCTCACTTGCTCAAATAAGCAATAATGACTATTACAATTTTCCATACTTCCTTTTCTAGTTTCCTTGTAAATTCTCAATCATCTGAGGCTTGTCCAACAACTTTGTTGTGCTTGCAGTCTATGGAAAAGCAAAAAGTTCACGCGGATTAGAACTTTGTTCGGTTAATCAGATGATTAGGAAACGTAAGAGATATACCATACGCTTGTGCATATTTTTAGTTATTTTAGTCGAACATACGCTCACGAGCAGCACGTCTAGCGTCCGAGGAGGGGGAAGCATAATTATACCATACGAAGTAGCACTAGTTGTACAGCTTTATACCTTTGTTCCTTTGTTTTGCTTCTATTTTCTTCCATAACCTTCCCTCCAAATCGAGACGGTTCTAGTTTTCCGTTCGAGATGACGTAGTGTTGTAAATCACTGGATGTAAATAACATGTAAAATTAGTGTACAAATGTAACGTCCTATCTCAAATGTTTTGATTGATTGTATGATATTTAGTTAAACTTTGATAGCAATTGTTGATGCAGTCAAAACGATATTGGTATATATCTCTAACCAAGAAGTTGTGAGTTCGATCTCCTACCCCGCATACATGTTGTACTAAAAGTTCTGATTGAGATATAATTTCAGAATTTCCCCCACATTCTTGCCAATGTTATGTTCCCATGAGTTCTAGAAATGTTCTATATTTTCAGTACAATTTTGTATCTTTTGGTTGGTACTTCAAATATTCCTTCGAGCTTCGGATTGAAAATAACAACGATGCAAATGAAGAAGCATATAACCAATTTTTTTTATATATATAATGATTTATAATTGTAGTACACATGAAAAAACCAATCTTTAAGCAACTTTCTTATGATTCCTACTTGCCATTTTTTTTTAAAGAAAACTATAGTAGCCAATTCATATATCACGTAAAATTAAATAACTACACAATGAAATAAATTTCTTTTCTTCTTCTTAAAAAAAAAAATAAATTTCTTTTCTTCTGTTTTCATATCCCTAGAATGTCACATTTTCAATGTTGTGACACTAAAACTTAAAAGGTATAAATTTTCATAAAAATGTTGGAAGTTGGAATCTATCTACAGATAAATATTAGAAGCAAATTCCACAGTATAAAGTATTTGTTGCAAACAAACTATCCAAGGCCAGCGTTGTTTTTGCTTTTTTCTTAAAAAAAAAAAAATCAAAAATCAGAAACCAGTGTTCTTTTTACTAAAACAAATGTGAGGATGAAGGACTGGGAAAGGAGTAACATACCTTAACTATTGAATTATGTTCCTATTAAATAGTATATCATATAAAATCAACTAAAAATTTTATCACATTATCATTTGACGTTGTAAGGCATAATTTTCCCTAAAATAAATCATTGCTTTTTTTTCTTTCCATGGTTTTTTAGCGAATAAGTATTGTTTTGAATCACAAAATCAACCAAGTGCACGAACCTTGGCTCGATACTGTAGATCACACAAAAGACGAGCTGGAAGTGAACCGGACAGGTGACCTGCAAAACAGAACACACTCCGATGCTAAAGTCAGTAGCTGGCCGAACTAAACTAGAGAGAGAATTCAGGATTCGCGTACATTTGAGCAGAGCAAATGAGTTTTATTTATAGAGAAGATCTCTGATCATGTTCCTGACAAGGCCTCAACTGTTCTTTAAGGTTATCGTGAAACACGGCATGATGTCGTGGAGTCTGTCGGAGATGAGACTGAGTTGAGGTAAGGTTAATCAGTTCAACCTAAAATTTGGGAACAAGATCTCAAACCTGTTCGGCTCGGCCTCCAAGAGTTAGGATCGGTCATAGGAGATATGTTCGAGGTGGTGTAACTTAATCTTGGGTGTTGAATGCCATACATAATCTCTATGAGACAATCATTATTTGCCACATGTGATCAGAGAAAACACTTCCAACATTGGCCCTTGCTGAGCCGAAGTGTGGCAACGAGTTGGCTCAACGTCGTGACTAGTTAACCCGAAATGGTAGAACTTGGGGTTGAGAACGAGTGAAACTCCAACAGTCAAGCTGATGTATGTTGACGTCACGGCCAATTGGTTTTAGGTGGGAACGTATCTGGACCATTGATTTTGAACATTACAAATGGTCGAGATGGTGCGGCCCAATCCTATAAATAGTGAAGTTCATTCTTCCATTTTTCCTTGCACAGCATCTAGGAATTCTCTCAAATTTCCCTTCGCTCTCCAGGTGTCCTCAGCTCGGTATCTTAACTAGGTCAGCCACGTTTCTTGTTTTTCATTCTTTGTTTTTTTTTTAATGAGCAAGTCTCTCGAACTATGGAGGGTAGTTTTTAGGCCTTGTGCTGGTCAGAGGGATAGCGCCTCGAGTTCTTTTAGCATCGAATGTTGGATTGGTATAACAACCCTAGAGGGGGTGAATAGGGTTTAATTAAACTTTATAAACTTTTTAACACGGTGGGCCCAATTTAACAAATAAGTAAATTTTTTTATTAACAAATGATTTTAACACAAAATTAAATAACAAATTAAAAATACAAAGAACCTAATTAGTTTCACTACCCAAATAATTCAAATACAAATATTAATCATAAATATGAATAACAGATTCGAACAATTAATTTCATGCAATTTGTAATAAAGAAAATTAATTGCAAAAATTAAATAGAGAATGGTTAAAGAAAATGATACTGGAAATTTATAGTGGTTCGGCAACAATCGACCTACTCCACTTCCAAAGCTCCTCTTGGGTGTTCAATTGAAGAACTTGACTCTTTCCACGGCTTAGAGTCCAATCGGTACAAAGTTCTTTTTACGGGAGCAAGAACGAACCTAATCCTTTCCACGGTTCAGGATCAAACCGTTAGTAATGATTTTTTCGGGCTTAAGAGCAACCCTTACAAAGAATATGAAATTTGAATTTTGAGTACAATCTCGCAAACTCTCTCAAAGAGTAAATACATAAATTTTTGCTCACAAATTTGTAAGAAAAAATCTTACAAATAAAAGCCCTCAATTTGGTTAACAGAAATAAAATTGGAATATCAAATATCTGTCAAATAAAATCTCTCTCAAAACAAACTATAAGAACATTGGAATTTTGGAGAGAAAAACATGAAGAGATTGGAGAGAAAATTGGAGAGGTAATTATTGAAAATTTGAGAGAATGAATGGTTTAAATAGGTAAGGAAAAGTTAAAAATAAATTTGAAATCAAATTTAAATTTGGACCATTGGATTTGATTTGATTTTTATTTGAAATGATTAAAAATCAAAGGTTGTTATTTAATTTAATAAAATAAATAATAATATATATAAACAAAAACTCCAACGGTAACTTTAGGGTTCTTTTTTTTTTTTTACTCCAACGGTAACATCTTTTATATATATATATATTTTTCTTTTCTTTTCTTTTCCATTTCTTTTCTTTTGATTTCTTTTTTTCTTTTCTTTTTCTTTCCCATTTGTTTTATAAACTAAAAAGTTTCAGCTCGCCACATGTCCTCTTCTATTCGTCCATGTAGAATTCAACTGCCACGTCATCCACCTCGAGAATTTATCCTTTCAACTTCATTCGGCTATAACTTCTTTATTTGAGCTCCGATTTTGGTAATTCAAAATCCGTTAGAATCGTCGTATCGAGCTCTGTGCTATAGACACTTTATAACACTAAAATTATCCAATAACAAAATATGTATTACAATAAATCATATAATATGATTGAAACTCATAATAAATTTATGCTTTATAACAATAATTCTTACACACCAAAAATAATTTATACTAAGTGTGTTTGTTATCATCAACATCGGATGCGTCATAGACTCTCCAACCACCTCTGGCCAAGGTGAAATTAATTCGAACCCTCAGTCTGTAGTAGAGCCTCATCCTTCTATTTGTACCGAAGATGACCTCAAAGACTTGCGAGACTCGTATGGGATACCTGATAGCATTAGGATGAGATTACCTCAGGTTGGGGAACAGTTTGACAACCCTTCACTGGGTGGGTCGGTATGTACCCCCAAATGTTCAAGCGTGGAGTTTGGCTTCCACTTCATCCTTTTATCCAGTGCTTCCTTTCAACCACAAACCTAGCCCCAGCTCAGCTGGCTCTAAACGGCTGGGCTACCTTGCTTGGCATATGGAATATTTGGTGGGGATTTCGTGGGGGTGAGGAGAATCTTTTACTAGACGTAGGTCAGTTCTTCGCCACCCACCTCATCAAACCGTACCGAGATTCCCCGGGTTGGTATTATATATCTGCTAGGAACACTTTCTGCAAACTTTTCGACTCACCTTCGCAAGCACTGGAGAGATAAGTGGTTCCTCGTCTCGAGGGAGTGGCTGGTCACCAAGGATGGTGAACCGTTCTACGAGGTGCCGAGGGAATTTGGGGAAGTAGGTAAGTTGTTGGCAAATAGTAGTTGGTCTATGATGGATAGGTCATCCTCTTATGTACGATCTGACGCATATTTTTATTTAGTTTTTGCAATTACCCCTCGTCCTCGACCTCAGGTTAATACGCAATCTGATATAATCCAGGACTCACTGTTCGCAACAGGTCCAATTTGATACGAGGGACTCTTAGACAACATAAACCTTCACCAGTGCGGTCTTGCCAGCCTCAACTCGACTCGAGACTCCCGGTTGAACAAGATGGTTTCCAAACTGTACGTTGCTCTGAATTGGAAAAGGTTTGCTGAGGAGACTGTTCAAAACAAGGGGGAAAAACATGGGAAGGCTGATACGACACCCACGACAAACACCGCCATCTGAGTCGAGCCTCTTCAAATGCTACTGTCTTTCCCCTCGAGTTCCCGGAATAAGGGTGCATCCTCTTCCGATCGGAAGGGGAAGAGATCCGATGAAGCCTCCTCTTGCTCGCCTCTGAAGATTATAAATTTGACCTCCGAGGAAGAAGACCCCTCGATAGTAGCTCGGAAGCTGGACTTTCCATACTCATTCAAATTTAGCTTCACCACTAAGAAGGCTTGAGACTCTACCACTTTAATGAAAGGACGTAAATCCCACAGCGGAAACAGGGATCTTTGTTCTTGAATTTTTTAGAAACAAAACCCACGAAAAAAATTGAAATAGGAAAATGTAGGGGAAAAGAAAATCACTTTTGAAGAACCTTTCTTCTAGTGATTACAAGCGAACACCACCACGACCTTCCTTTCTATGACTTCGGCAAAGGTCCGGTTGTGTGGGAACCGATAGGGAATATTGTGATTGAGAGAGAGAGCTTGAGAGAGAATCAACACTTGAAGGGAAGAAAAAAACTCGTTCTATTTTTGCAGAAATGTTCTGCAATATAACCATCCTCATGTCATAACTATCCCCACTCGTTATATTAATCATATTAATTAATATATATATATATATATATATATATATATATATCAAATAAATAATTAACACTTAATTATTTATTACAAAAATAGAATCATATTCTAAAGCATTTCTCTTGTATAACTTATAGTCGTAATGTACATCTTATGCA